TTATGTTGAGGTTATGTTCTGGTTATGTTGAGGTTATGTTAAGGATAAGTTATTCCTCATAGTCTTATTCTTAGCCTGGCTCTGGATCAGGCTAGCTGCAAATAATAAATCTCCAAAGTAACTTAGTTCAGCTTAATTAAGCCTGCTTTCATGAAACTGAGTCAAGGAAAATCCCAGCTGAATGTGACAGATCTCCCGAAAATCAACATTTACTATTTACAAAGCTCTTTCAGTTCCCTTCATCTGATCAACACTGAAGAAGATATTTTCAGGAATGTTGAAAACCGGTAACCATTGACTTACATAGAAGGAAAAGCTAATGCTATTGAAGTCGATGGTGACAGGAATTCAGCATTTTAAATATCTTCTTTGTTTTCAGCAGATGAAGGGAACTCACAAGAGTTTGAAAGAAGTGAATGATGACAGGGTTGTAGTTTTAGGGTAAACTGTCCCTTTAAGCGCTGGTGTTGTGTGCGGTTCTGCTGTCTGGATTGTGCATTCCTCTTAGTCGATTCTCTGTTTCTGTGTTTTGAAGGCATCATTCACGCCCGGGGGCTGGTGCGCGAGTGTCTGGCAGAGACAGAGAGGAACGCCCGGTCCTAGCAGTATCTTCATCATCATTTCATCATCATCATCAAATCGCTGCCGCAGCTCTTCCAGACGACCAGCAGACGAGGAGCTGAAGAAGAGTTTCATCTTTTATACATCTTTTATATATTCTGCAGAACTGAGCAGAAGAGCACACACACACACACACACACACACACACACACACACACGCTCGCAGCGGCTCAGCATGGCTTACACCAGTCTGTGCTTTTCTTTACTCCATTCCTTTGGTCTTTATTTGTATTTATTACCTTGTGTAATGCAATGTATTTTCATGTAAAGACAGGAAGGATCACTCTTTGCAATTTTGTATATCTGTCAATAAATATGACATTCATTGTGTATTAAATGCCTCCCTTTATTTATTTATTTGTTTATTTATTTATTTGTTTATTTATGTATTTGTTTATTATTGTGTTTTAACAATACAATCATATTAACCATCATAACGACGGTCGACATCAAGTACAATAACAAACAAGGAAAATTAACAATAATAATTAAAAAATAATAAATAAGATAATAAAAAAACAGGCGATCTATCCAATTAAATAATATTTACAAAGTCTTTATTAAAACTCAGTTTGAACAGTTTTGCTGTAAACATTGTGTAAAGTAGTGATTAAACAATTAAAGTCACAAAGAAAGTTCTGCATCTTAGGCACTGATGAAGAGTTTACTGCTGTGAATATAATATTTACTCTTTTATTTATTTCTTATTTATTTGCTTGAGAATACACAATCACAGTAGATTTCAGTTGTTTTTAAAGCGTTTGTTGTACAGGATATTTACCCTTTTATATCGTAATCTGTAGGTTTCCTGACGAAGGCAGATATAGGCGGAGTCACTATAGACAAATCAACCAATCAGAGCCTCTGTTGTGCTCTTGAAATGCGCAGAAGTCCACAAAGCGGCCAATCGCGGAGTTCAGAGTGACGTTGGCTGTGCGTGCTGGCCAATCAGACGGCTCGTTTCGAACTCTCCGGGCCAATGGCGGCTCGCGGCGCAGTGTGTGTGTCAGAGAACAGCGGAAGGTTGAGCTGCAGAAGAAGAGCGCGGCCGCTGACGACACCATGGCAGGAACACACACAGTTATGATTATAGTTATGACCAGCGACTGGTAAGTGCCGCGGTGTGGAGTGTGTGTGTGTGTGTGTGTATGTGTGTGTTCAGCAGGCCACAGCTGCAGTGTGTGTTCGTGTCTCTGTGTGAGTGTGAGAGAGAGGAACAGGAAGCGCCATCGCCGAGTCTGTCAGTCAGTCAGTCAGTCAGTCTCTTTCTGTCTCACTGTGTGTGTGTGTGTGTGTGTGTGTGTGTGTGTGTGTGTGTGTTTATTTCTCTTACACGATTCAAGACTTCTAGGCACACACACTGATGCTCTCAGCATCATGTGTGACATCATTTGTGTGCGCGCGCGCGCGTGCGTGTGTGTCTCTGTGTGTGTGTGTGTGTGTGTGTGTGTGTGTGTGTGTGTGTGTGTGTGTGTGTGTGTGTCTGTGTGTGTGT